TACGGTTGGTCTTTCACCAAATGCTCTTCCTTTTTTTCCCCCTGCTTTAGCATCTACTACTGTAGACATTGCATCTAATGTTAGAGTAGCTGGAAATCCTCTAATTGAGGTTCCTGTTATTGTGGTGGATTCACAATCCTTGGCTAATCGTTTGGGAGATTCATCTGGTGTGGACATTAGGAGCCATCTTAATTGGTTGGAAGGTTCGTCGGAGTATGAATCAGAATCTGAATTTTCTGATGGCGGAATGTTGTGTCCGGAAATTTGTGGGGGTTCTGATCCTGGCAACGATTTCACATTGGTTCGTGCTAGTCCTAGCATTAATGTGGCATCTCGGGGGAGATGTCGTGGGAGATTTCGTGGAAGAGGTCGTCGTCGACGCTAATTTCTGTCGCTTCTTCTGCTTAGACTTTGCTATCTTATCGGGTTTCTATTAATTGTTTATGGGTTGAGGGGATGATAGCGGTGCTGTTAGAGCTATGATGTGGTTAGGGCTCGTGTCCCTGTGGTTCTGCAGTGGCAACCTGGGACTTGGCTTTTTGGTCACTATTTACCTTACTGGACGGTCCTGCGTGGCTTCAGGGACGCTGGTAGCTCTGGCCGTTTGCTGAGCCCACTCCTTTGGTTGTATTTTTCAGGTTTTGTTTTGTTTTATTTCCTATATTGTTGTACCTTTTGCTTTTATCAATATATATATATTCTGTTAAATATATATATATATATATATATATATATATATATAGTGTAATCTTTCTCTAGTATAATTATTGATTTTAATTACATAAATTTTCTATAAAGAACAATTTAGATATTTTAAAATAATTAAAAAAAAATTGATGAAATAAAGCCAAGCTGTTTCCCCATTTATAACCCCCCTAGTCCCCCTAAGTCCGCTTATGCCGTTTCCCCATTTATAACCCCCAAAAAAATTTTGATATATGAAAGAGGGAAGGGGAGAGAATGTAAAAAAAATCCGAACCCCTGCCTTGAGGAACAATTAACGAGTGATTACCAACACAATACAGTTAAATTTGGTTTTTTATACCCCACAATGACAAATTCATCGTACTATATTTTGCAATCATTGAACTACTTTTAATGCACCCACCGAAATTTTGGGATGTTGGTGAGTGAGCATGGTTGGAAACCTCTCATCCCGGATTCGAATCTCCTCTTCGACGGTCTCACCTCTTCACTGTGGCAATTCAAGTGCAGGTCCAATGCCTGTGGGTAATCTGGTTAGGTTCCACCGAGGGATTAGTTACGTTGCTAAATACTCCCTTTGAAGTGGCCGTGGGTACATATCTCGTTCCAAAAAAAATAAAAACTACTTTTAATGTTGGGATTGGTTGGTCGTTTCATCCCAATAATTGATTGATTCACCATTAATATCGTTGTGAACATGGCTGTGATTTTGATCTCCCTTAAAATAATAAAAACCCTCATTGTCTCACTCTCTATTACCCACACCCATTTCCGGCCTCCAACGTTTCTCCAACAAATTAATGAGCAGTTCCAACGCCGCCGTCGACGCCAGTATGGACGAAGAGGCTGCCTGCCTCTACGCAATGCAGCTTGTCAGCTTCTCCGTGCTCCCGATGACCCTCAAAGCCGCCATCGAACTCAATCTCCTTGAAACCATCGTCCTCGCCGGCCCCGATGCTCAACTCTCCCCCGCAGAACTCGCCTCTCGCCTCCCCTTCATCTCAAACTCCCAAGCCCCCGCCATGCTGGACCGTATCCTCCGCCTCCTCGCCAGCTACTCCATTCTCACCTGCTCTCTCTCCCCATCCGGCGAGCGCCGCTACGGCGCCGCACCGGTTTGTAAGTTCCTCACGCCTAATGCTGATGGCGTTTCTATGGCTGCGCTCGCTCTAATGAATCAGGATAAGATGTTGATGGAGAGCTGGTATCACCTCAAGGATGCGGTGATTGAAGGCGGCATTCCGTTTAAAAAGGCGCATGGGATGACAGCGTTTGAGTACCTCAGAACGGATCCAAGGTTAAATAAGGTGTTTAATGATGGGATGTCAGGCCATTCGTCCATCTTTACAAATAAATTGTTGGAGATTTATGAGGGTTTTGATGGGTTGGCTTCATTGGTGGATGTGGGAGGCGGAGTGGGGGCGACGTTGGGAAAGATTACGGCCAAGTATGCTGGGATTCGAGGAATTAATTTTGATCTCCCACATGTTATCTCTGAGGCCCCTCGTCTTCCTGGTTTGTCAAATTGCCTAAATGAATTTTTATATTTTTCTTTGCTCATTTGATTTGTTGATTATGAGCTTTGACTATCAACTAAGAGAATTTGGGTTCGAGTCTTACCCATGTGATGTTCGTATGAGTTTGCCTTAATTCCCCTTAATGTCTCAAAAAAATCATATTTTGTAAACTCAAACATATATCATATACGCAAGCTTCGAAACTAAGATCTCTTGTTTAGTAGGCAAAGTTTCAAACCAACAAATTAAGAGAAGCTGTGTGTTTTATATTTCATTCTTTCTTGAATTAGTGAAATGTACATGTGTTGAAATGTTATAATGGATGATGGCAGGAGTGGAGCATGTGGGTGGAGATATGTTCAAGAGTGTTCCAACTGCTGATGCCATTTTCATGAAGGTTGATCTCATAATGAACTCGAGCCAAAAATATAAATTTCAAGTTTAGTTTGAGTTAGAGTCGAGCTCGAGCTTGAACCACTTTAATAGTTGGTGAGCCGAGCTCAAGCTCGACTTAGACTCGTTTACACCCTTAATCTCATTATTTCTCAACTCGGCTCATTTGGCTCAATTTGAGCCAAAAATTGATTCAATCTTCATGCTAAAATCTCCACATAATCATATTTATAGGAAAATTTAAATCTTAAAAGTTTGCCCAAATTGATCTCTTATTGTTTTCCTCTTATATTTGTTATGCTTATTATTGTTATTATTCATATATTAGCAATAGAGTTCAAACATTCCATTTTATGCCCCTAGAAAGATTAGAGTTGCTCAGCCTAAACTCAGCCTATGTTATAAATACTAAATGAATTCAAATCAAACCCTATTATGAAATAGTTTTGGTGAAGAACCATAGTCATTTTGAAATATGGTGATAAAAAAGCTTTATTATACATTATCAAGTTGTGAATTGGCTTTCTTTCCAACTAGCACACATTAATAGATCTAATTATAAAAGCATCCAATCACACAAATTTCTAAAAAAATAAACAATAGAGTAATAGTCAAACAAAAATTTGATAAAGTCCCCAAAAAAAGGAAATAGCCCAAAATTAAGCATTTGTATTTTTCTTTTATCAAGTAAAAATCAATTTGATGATGAGTCCAACTGATAATTTGGGTTTGAATTTAACACCACTTATTATCTATAATACTAGAATAATATCACCTTATTTGGCGTGCTCTTATTTTGTGCATAAAATAAGCTAATATTTTTAAATATGATAGTGGATTCTTCATGATTGGAGTGACGAATATTGCCTGAAATTGTTGAAGAATTGCTGGAAGGCACTGCCGGAAAATGGGAAAGTGATTCTGGCTGAGTGGATCCTTCCGGTGGAGCTCGAACAAATTGTAGCAGCCAAAGGTATCATTAATGTTGATCTCCTCATGCTGGTCAACCCCGGAGGAAAAGAGAGGACGGAGAATGAGTTTAAATCATTGGCAAAGGAGGCTGGTTTCTCTGATTTCAAAGCCATCTACATATTTTCGGGCTGTTGGGTTATGGAAATCATCAAGTAGATTGATATGAGAGTTATATGCATATATATTGACTTATTTTATCTTGGTTTTGACTATGCATTCATCACTCTTTTTTTTTTTCTCTAAAAATTTGATTTTTGCTCATTGCTAAACTCATTGTCCTCATTGATATTATCCCAACTCTTATCTATATTTTTTTTATCTTCAAAACTATAGGCCATCTAATATTTTTGGATGAGTGCCTATATTTTTTTTTCCGGAATGTTAACACCGTATACTTTTTAATAGAATAAAACATTGGGGGATATTTGTCAACTTAGAAGCTAAGTCAATATATAAGAGCTACTACTATTATATTAAGAACTTGAGTCTTATTTTACTTTTAATATAGGATTAGTCTTTACTTTCATGTGCAACCTAATACACTAATTTTATTAATGCATCTCCCACAAATGCTAAACCATCCAAACCCATAGAATGCCTATAATACATAGGCCATTGTTACAACTTATAAAAGATTAAATTTAAACAAAGATATTGGGCCTATATTTTATTTTCTATTTTCATGACACCATCACTATTCATTAATGTGAATGTCCTAAGTATGAACTATTCACTTGTTTTCTAATGTCTCAATCTTGTCAATGCGTACATAAGTTGTTTCATTAGAGAAAGCCCAAGTTAGAGTACAATCTCTGATTGTCAACTCAAAAGCTATTAAATCGAAGAATTTTAGTCAAGCACCTTGTAATTCCTCACATATATAATAGACTTTCCTACTACTATTGAGGTCATAATTTTTCAATTATTTGAAGGATGGCATTCTTTACTATTTTTTAAAGTTAATAAAATTGTACATGTTTGCACTACAGGATATTCAGGTATTACCGACGGCCATTATCAACGGTACTATAGCCGTCGGTATTACCGGCGGTTTTAATAAACCACCGCCAGAATTAGCGGCAGTATAATAACCCCTAGCAAGGGTGTCAGTTTTATATTTTACATGCGTCATTACCAGCGGCCTTGGCCGCCGATTTTTAGTGATTTTTTCCGGCGGTCCAAACTACCGGAAATGGCCCTAATTTTAGCCAACCAGAGCCTTCCTCTTCATTTCTTCGCGTTTCTCTTTCACTACAAACGCTCCCACACCCCCATTCTCTGAGTGAGTATGTAGGAATCCAATCGCCGACAACCTCTCTCTGCCGACGATCTCGCCCCCACACCGGCAGCCGAGTACACCCGCAATCTACTCGCGAAAGTCGTCGATCAGCAACAACCCCGAACCGAATTTAGGTTTTCTTTTTTTTTTCTCAAATTTACAAAGGTGTTTTGAACAAGAATTTTCCTATTTCGGTTGGATTAAATCAAGGATCAGCATTAAGTCCATATCTTTTTGCTTTAGTCATGAATGTTCTCACTAGACATTTGCATGAGAATGTACCTTGGTGTTTGCCTTTTGCTCATGGTATTGTTCTTGTTGATAAGACTAGGGAGGGAGTTCAAGGTAAACTTGAATTATGGAGGTCAACCTTAGAGTCTATACCTTGGTATTTGCTTTTTGCTCATGATATTCTTTTTGTTGATAAGACTAGAGAGAGAGTTCAAGGTAAAGTTGAATTATGGAGGTAAACCTTATAGTCTATACTTTGGTGTTTGCTTTTCCTTAGAGGATGTACCTTTGTGTTCACTTTTTGCTTATGATATTCTTCTTGTTTATAAGAGTAGAGAGGGAGTACAAGGTAAACATGAATTATGGAGGTCAAACTTAGAGTCTATACCTTGGAGTTTGCTTTTTGCTCATGATATTCTTCTTGTTGAAATGACTAGAGAGGGAATTCAAGGTAAACTTGAATTATGAAGGTCAACCTTAGAGGATGTACCTTTGTGTTTGTTTGTTGCTCATGATATTCTTCTTGTTGGTAAGACTAGAGAGGGAATTCAAGGTAATTTTGAATTATGGAGGTCAACCTTAGAGTCTATACCTTGGTGTTTGCTTTTTGCTCATGATATTCTTCTTGTTGATAAGACTAAAGAGGGAGTTCAAGGTAAACTTGAATTATGGAGGTCAACCTTAGAGGATGTACCTTTGTGTTTGCTTGTTGCTTATGATATTCTTCTTATTGATAAGACTAGAGAGGGAGTTCAAGGTAAACTTGAATTATTGAGGTCAACCTTAGAGTCTATACCTTGGTGTTTGTTTTTTGCTCATGATATTCTTCTTCTTGATAAGACTAGAGAGGTAGTTCAAGGTAAACTTGAATTATGGAGGTCAACCTTATAGTCTATACCTTTATGTTTACTTTTCCTTAGAGGATGTACCTTTGTGTTTGTTTTTTTTACTCATGATATTCTTCTTATTAATAAGACTAGAGAGGGAGTTCAAGGTAAACTTGAATTATGGAGGTCAACCTTAAAGTCTATACCTTGGTGTTTGCTTTTTTCTCATGATATTCTTCTTGTTGATAAGACTAGAGAGGGAGTTCAAGGTAAACTTATATTATGGAGGTTAACCTTAGAGGATGTACCTTTGTGTTTGTTTTTTGCTCATGATATTCTTCTTGTTGATAAGACTAGAGAGGGAGTTAAAGGTAAACTTAAATTATGGAGGTCAACCTTAGAGTATATACCTTGGTGTTTACTTTTTGCTCATGATATTCTTCTTGTTGGTAAGACTAGAGAGGGAGTTCAAGGTAAACTTGAATTTTTTAGGTCAACCTTAGAGGATGTACCTTTGGGTTTGCTTTTTGCTCATGATATTCTTCTTGTTGATAAGACTAGAGAGGGAGTTCAAGGTAAACTTTAACTATGGATGTCAACCTTAGAGTCTATACCTTGGTGTTTTCTTTTTGCTCATGATATTCATCTTTTTGGTAAGACTAGAGAGGGAGTTCAAGGTAAACTTGAACTATAAATGTCAACCTTAGAGTCTATACCTTGGTGTTTTCTTTTTGCTCATGATATTCTTCTTGTTGATAAGACTAGAGAGGGAGTTCAAGGTAAACTTGAATTATGAAGGTCAACCTTTGAGTCTATACCTTAGTGTTTACTTTTTGCTCATAATATTATTCTTGTTAATAAGAGTACATGTTTTAGATATATTGGTTCTATTGCATCGAGCTTATTGTGCGATAGAAAAGTTCCCCTCAAACTTAAGGAAAATTCTATAAGATGGTTCTAAGACCTACAATGATTTTTGGTGCCGAATGATGGACATTAAAAGAGAAGCATAATAATGAGCTAAGTGTTGAAAAGATTAGGATGCTCAGGTGGATGAGTGGCTTTACCCTTAGAGATAAGATACGAGTCATTAGCCGAGTTTTCCATTTTGTCACATAAATTATTTATCTTGTATTATTGTATTTATTTGATGGTTGGTGAATACATTCCAATTCAAGTAAAGTACACTTATTCAAAAGTAAAGCACGTACACTTGTTTAGGCTGCATATCTTCTAATAATTGATTTCACAACTATGTAGGAAAACATTTGCTTTAACATTCAAATGATTATCCAAAAAGAGAGATATTGGATGTATAACAAATTATTACCGAGTCGAATATGATTGACAGATGAATTTATACATAGAGTTGAGACTTTTATTCAAGTTGCATCTCAACTACCTTTCTTTAAGTTCGATGGAATGTTTAGATGTTGTTGTTCAATTCACAAAAATCAAGCATTCCTCAAGCCTGATGATGTGATGGTTGATTTATATCATAAGGTATTTATTCCAGACTAATGGATTTAGATCTCACATAGCGAGTACGAGCCACATAGAGATACTCATGTCGGTCCATCCACGGGTTTTAAAATATTTGATGAAGATCAAATGATTAGACCGTAAGAAAAACTTTTTTTTAATATAGTAGGTCTTATTTTAAGGGCTAGTGTGGATGAGCCACCAAATGCATAAACCAAATTTTTTTTTTTTTTGAGTTACTATATGTAGCTCAAAAACCAATTTGAGATGGTTGCAAAACTCATTCAAAATTATTAATTACAGTGAGGATGTTAATTATCAAAACTAAATATAATATTCCTCGTGATTATTTCAATGACTTCATTGGTCTTGTCAAGGAAAAAAATCAACGGACAGTTTAATTCCCTTAGATTTTTACCGAATTAAGAAATTAGTATCCAAGTTGGGTCTCACTGCTATAAAAATTGATTATTATATCAATGGATGTATGTTATATTATAAGGATGATGTAACAGAAGATTGTTTTCTCACATGCAATGCGCCTCAGATTAAGCCAAACTCAGGAAAATAATATTATCAAAAGAAAGATGTTTCATATTTCCGTTTATTTTATTTACCGATCATTCCAAGACTTCAGTGGCTCTATTCATTAATGAGTTCAACAGATCATATGAGATGGCATAAGGAGAAATTAGTAAACAGTGCTGTTCTTTCTCATCCATCAGAAAGAGTTTATTGGCCGGGAGCTGACACCATTGGAGTTGCATATAATGACTCACTAACATCAAGCTGACCATCAGTGGCTTAATGAAAAGGTTAAAAAAGCTCATGTGACTATAATTTTTGGAGTTCGGGAATATAAATTTAATATGAAAAATATCATTCTAATATCAATTTATTTTATAGATTTATTCTCGCAGAATGATTTTATACGAGTTCAATAAAGTCGTCAGTCTACTGATGAGGGATCATCTTCAAAATTGACCCAATATTATGAGTATCATACATGGTCAGATGTTATTAGAGGAAGGCATAGGGGGAGGGTATATGGCTTGGGTTCGGAAGGATGGCTTGGGTTCGGAAGGCTATGCTTATGAGGGTAGTTCATCCACATCAGTATTTTATGATCCTAGTGGAGCTAAAGAAAATATTAGCCAGAGGGTTGCAGCCCTGATGAGAGAGATAGAATGGATGAGAAAGATTCAAAATGAGATGCAGGCAGAGCTACGATCGTATAGAGATGAAAACCAAAACAAGAAAGAGCAAGAGCAGACTCATGAATCACTAGGAATCGAGGACACGAAGGATGATTAGTACTCTTATTTATTTAATAAACTTTTGATTTAAATATTTGGTTTGATGAACTTGTTATGTGAAAGCGAAGACATAGACATAGTATTGTGGATTTATATATTATATTTATTGTAGACTTTATTTGGTCTGATGAACCTTTT